AAAAAAAGAAAAAAAAGAAGGCTTTTCTGGGGTTGGGATTTAAAGCTTTAGCTGGAATTACTTTTCTCCAATTTGTTCTTGCTGTGTTAACAGCCAGAGCAGCACGGGGTTGCTGTACTGAGGTGGGAGACAGTGGGTGGGGTTAGCAGTGAATAAGTAGAGGAAAAAGTTAAATGATGGGAAGAGAACAAGGTAATGTGTGTTTATGTAAGAAGAGCCGTCACTAAGCTTTCATTTGGAAGAAGGAAATAAATAGAGCACATCACATCAACCCGCTGCTGCTTGACAAGCCTTGTCAGAGACTGACAAAAACATATCTCACATGTCAATCACCGCTTCTTGCCACGTATAAATACCCTAACACGTATTTATGGTTCACTTTAATGTGAGGACAGACACAACGCCTGTGATGTGCTGCTTTTAAGGATGTGAGTCAACAATTTGAGCCTCGCAACTCCGATATAAACCAGAAAATCCAACAGCATCAGATATAAACTGGGACATGGGACTGTTTTTTGTGTAGAAGAATAGGTTTGTTATTTTAGCATTGAAATCCTTTGCATGCCAAGGAGTTGGTTTCTTAAAACCAAGCTTGTTTCCCCCTGACACCACCTACTGCTCAGGTTAAGGGAAATTACTGCGCTGACATGCAACATTTAAATGAACTCATTAAAATTTAAACAGTCACCAGTCCAGGGACAATCACTGCAGACCTCTGCTTGTCAGGCGACAAGATAATGCAATGCAAACAGCTGGTACGGTGGAGTAAAACTTGTTTTTCTTTGACTTTTCACATCGACAAAAACCCCTGTTGCTGATGCTTGTTTTTCCAGCTGTAGCACAAAAGGAATGAAACAAAGGAAGGTTTTCAGCAAGGCAAAATGAGTTTGATTTAAATTCTGCATCCGGCTTCAGTGTCGGACAGTGGTGAGTAGTTAGTGTACCGCTGCTCAGAGCAGTGAAAATTGTGTTTAAAAAAGTGAGAAAAAGCTTAAAATTCCTTTTATTTTATTCCTTTTATTGACATACATGGCGCAGCATTGATAGCGCTGCAAATTCAAGGTCAAAATAGGAAGATGTACAAAATTTAAGTCTCTTTAGAAAGTGATGATTTTTTTCCCCTGTAAAAACTGATGTACTGTGTAAAATGTAATATGCTTGAAGATTTATCTTCCCTGTGAATTACTGTGACATGTCATTGCACATCTGTGTAGCATGGAGTCGTCCAAATCGTCCAAATCTGGCGTCTGCTAACAGGTATTCACACCTAGTTTGATTGGAACATAGTTAATTCCTCTCCATTTCTTAGTTTTTTTTAAGAAAAAGACAGTTTCTCATCCTGCAGGTTTTCTCTTATATTACAGTCTGGGCAGTGGGCCAGCAACTCCAGAACCAAGATGCTGCTGCCTTTCTGGCGTGTTTGGCATTTTGTCCTGTTCAAATGCCTTTTTAAAGAACAATTCATTTTTGGCACAAGGGAGTATGACCTTTTCATGTATTATGATGTATTCAAACGGAGCCATGACACCTGCTATGCGATAATTAGTCCCAACACTGTAGCAAGATAAGCATCCTCATCCACCATGCTTCAGTGTGCTGTGGGTTGGAGTCGGTGCTTGGGGGTCATCTGCAGTTTCTTGATCCCTCCTCCAAAAAAATCCTCTACTTTCATCCATAAAATATTGCTTCATTTTCCTTCAGGCTAGTCGATATGTCCTTTGGCAAATTGCAACCTGGGAATTTGCTGGGCTTCACAGAGGCATTATCTTTCTGTTACAGTGCTAAGAGGAAACAGTAGACCTTTTTAGTTTCCATTTAAAAACCATTTGAGATCAATTCAGCTGAGCAGCCTGTCATTTTCTGCACTTCTTTATACAGTTGAAACCAGATATGTACACACTATAAGAAAGACACCTTCTTTCAATTTCATTTTCTCACATTAAATTATATTAAACCTTTTTCAGTTCGGTCAGCTAGAATTACCAATAATGTTTCCATTATAAATGCCAGAGTGATTTCTTTTTTAATACTTTCTTCAAAATTGAGAAGCGTATGTATGCTGAGACTGCTATATCTGTACACGATTTGGTAAAGCCCAGATGATGATGATTGCTTTGAAATCTGAAAGATATCTCATCATGTGAGTTATTTAGAGGCACACATATGGATGTATTTTAAAACATCTTGCAGTGTGGTGATTGTGAAGGGGTAAAGCAGGTGATCCGTATCAAAAGTTTGAGTTTCGGCCTGTTGACCTTTGCCACATCTCTTCCCTCAATCTGCTTTCCTGTCAGACCACTCTCGAATAAATGCCACTAGAACCAATTAAGAAAAAAATATTCTAATAATGTTCCTTCTGTTACATCATGGAAAAATCAAAAAACATCCAAGATAGATGACGTTGTGATCGACGGTGAGTAGAGGAAAAAGTGTGTAAATAAAAGGGACACAGGTGGAACGGGGATGTATATGTTATATGTGTAGAAGGATGCTGAGGTTGAAACCACTGGGCAGAAGGCAGAAAGCAAGACCAAAAAGGAGATTTATGGTTGTCTGCTTTTCCCTCGGAGGGAAAAGCAGACAACGATGGACTTCCGTACTTATGGTTAAGCCGTGGGTAAAATTTCCAGATGCCTGAAGGTGCTACACATTTATCTGTTCAAAAAAGGGGAAAGACTCTATATCCCACAGATGGATTAGTTTTGGTGCAAACTGTACCCATCAACTCCAGAATAAAAGCTAAAAAATCTTGTAAAAATGCTCAGTAAAGCTGGGAAGAGTATTGTCTACATTGAAATGAGTCCTGTACCAATATAAGTTCAATGAGGAGGAATAAAGTATTAGTCTAAAGGCTACATAGAATGCCAGATTAGATTTTTCCAAACCACTCAAGGGCAAAAAACATATTTTTTTTGGAGAGCTGTCCTGTGGTCACACTTAAACCAAAATTTAAGTGTGCCATTAGAACTATTGCTGCTTTTAAAGGAAAGATAGAGAAGCCTGCTAACAGAGTTGGCAGCATCATTTAGTGGGGGAGATTTGCTGCAGGGCAAACTGGCAGCAAATCTACAAAATAGATGGTGTGATGAGGAAAAAACATTAGGTAATACTGAAGCAACATCTGAAGACGTCAGCCAGGAAGTTAACGCTTGGTCACAAATGGATCTTCTAAATGGGAAATGACCTTAAGCATGCAGCCAAATTAGTTACAGAGTGGCCCAAGAATAAAACAGTCGGTGTCTTGGAGTGGCTGCCACAAAGTAAGAATTTCTAGCTAGAAATAAAAAGGTCTGTGTAAGCAACCTGACCCAGTTCCACCTGTTCTGAGAGGGAGGAATGGAACATGATTAGAGCAAACTGTTGTGAGAATCTTGAAGGAAATCCAGATGCAAATGGGTAGACTTAATGTGAGGGAAATAAGATTGCCATTTTATACACTGTATCTAAATGCCTGGAGGACAGATGTCGGCTATGACTTTCCGTCTCTAACTGAGCTTGAACAGCCTTTACTTCTGTATTTTGTTTTGTATTAGATATACATGTAGCAGTCTCATTTGTTTTACCCAGTCTATTACCCTTCAAAGCAATTTTTGTAGCTTACAGACTAAACTTGGTTGATATGCTCCAAATATCAGACTTTTTTACTGATTAAAAATTATGGAGCTAAACCACATCATGAGTCTGTGGCTTATTGCCACTTACTGTAGAGTGTCCTGCATAAAGCATTTAGCAGCTTTCTGTTGTTTTGGTTGTCATCTTGGGCTGAACTTGATCTTATCATGTACTTGTTGGTGTAAACCTGTGAGAAAGTTGGTTAGTGCAATAAAGGACTCTTCCTCTTGAGTACCGACACCTAAAACAGCAGGAGTTCTGCATGTTGTAGCAAACAAATGTTAAAGGGAAAAGTGTATTGTGAGACATTTTTGTGCATGGGTATAAAGATTTTTTAGAAATAATGAACCCAACTAGTTGAAAACTTTATGCTAATAGCTGACAAAGGGATGTCTTTTTTTTTAAAGAGAAGCTTTCATGCCGAAACAGAGCGTCAGTCGTCGCCTTGCTTCACTTTGAAGTTTTCTGCCTTCTGGCTGTCAGTCTGTTGCCTTTGGCGCTCAAACCACCATCTCATCCGGATCTTGTATCCGGGATCGTTTTTATTAATTCAGTAACTTTCAAACATATTAACAAAGTAAATACCTCTACCAGGAACATGCACTTCAACTCTGGTTGTCCCCATTGATGAATGCAAAGAGAAAAACAAAATAGGATTTTTGAAAACTTTTGTCTTTTATCGATCAATAAGACACTGCAGGAAGCCATTTTTTCCCCCATGAATTACTCTAACCCAGTGGTTCCCAAGCTTTTTCTGGTTAGTTTGGGGGAAAAACTGTGAAAAGTTCTTTGCGTTTTGCTGGTTTGCTGCCATGATTCTAACACAAACCTGCGCAGCTCTGCACAGCAGCAGCAGGTCTCCTTCACTGCCGCACAGGTGTAAACCCAGCACGAGCGTAGTAGCGCTCATTTTGCATTTAAAGGCGGCTTGGAAAAAAAGGGTACGACATGTTAAAAACGGATTAAACAGTTTTAACTGCTGATAAAATTGACATAGAAATAACAGAGAGTTGACCATTCTAAGGTAAAAACCCAACGCATACAGCGTTCATGTTTTTTTTTTTTTATCCAGACGGCGCCCTAGGGAGCGTGCCCCACAGTTTGGGAACCTCTGCTCTAACCAGTGATTGACAGATCAAAACTAAATAAAACCCAAAGTTTCAGATTCAATTGAGCAAATTATAATTTTTCTGCTAGTGAACACTTGTGGAGAGATTAGTCATTAGGAAACTCAAAAATTAATGCCTGGATATTGATTTCCTGCTGATTAACTTCTGGTTGTATTTTTCAAAATACTTCCCTCCTTACTAAGAATTTCCTGGTCTAAAACGCACAGCAGGTCATGACGAAACCAAAATGACACAATGAGCATTATAAGCTGACACAGGGCTTTGAATTTAAACTTTATTAGTTGTTTCTGTTATAGTTTAGCAAAGCAAACATCAAAGTATGAAGGCATCATCATTTCATAGAACTGTAATTCATCTGTTCTTTAGCATGGCACCACCCAAAATAATTAGCTAATGATTAAAAGAAAGTAAAACCATTTTAAATTCAACCCAATAAAACAAGAAATGTTTAACAACAGGCAATAGCCATTGTGATGTAATTAAAAATACAAATCATCTGCAAGCAAAACACAAGCATAAAATCATACTTGGCCCTCCTCCTTAAGTCTGATACCATTATTTTTTGTCTGATATGAAATAAGGCAGATTCCTTCCCGTACAATTATAAACAATCTGGAAAGAAGACGAGCAAAAGTGAAGAAGGGCTAGTTCTTTGTTTTTTTATGACAGTGAAATTCAAAGCAATTTTCTGGCATGCACTGGAAAAGGCGAAGAAAACAGGGGGAGGAAAAAAAAAAGGGCTAATCAATTTGTCAAGAGACGGCCGCATCCTGGTTTGTGTGATCTGGGATGTTAACGCATGAGTTGCCAGGGAATGGCACGTTGCCTTGCAGTTATTGGCTAATTTGACTTGGCGCTGCACCAACGGTGCAATCTAAAAGCCCCATAAATGCAGAACATGAACCTGTATATTGCCAAGTTGGAATTGTAGGAACAAAAAGGTTGATGTTAAGCCTCATCCAGTCAGGAGTGTCAACATGTAGGAGCTGCGGCTGCTGCCCTCTGACAGCTTGACCGAGCTCTCACAGTGGCTTTTAGCAAATAAACACTTGAACCTGGTTCGTCTCTTTGCACCCTGCTGGCAAAATGATGGATGACTAACACACAGTGAGGTATGGCTCTTCTTTTCTGGTTGATATGTTCAAGTCCTATAGCAAGGTTTTGTACATACATACATTTACATACAGTACATACATACTTCAGGGAAGAATTAAAAGGTGGAGAGCTAATTAAAGTTGGGGTTGTGAGCATCATGTGAAGTTTCTGGTTGTCCTGGGCCAGTGTCAGAGCCCATTCTGACATGGACCCGTCTGACACCAGTGGGGTTGGCCTTTGCACAGTTTACTGGCTGTCAGATGAGGTTGATTGTTCTCCTCTCAGTAGGTCATTCTTTGTTCTCAGCAGATTCTGGACAGAAAATTAAAATGGGACGTGAAAATACCGTCAAATACCGTGCTTAAGTTTTAATTTCCATTCTTAAAAAATTAACATTTTAAAAACATATACTTAATAAAAATAAAAAAAAATTGTAACTGATTACATTTATTTTGTGCCTTACATGTGTGTGCCAAAAATATGTTTATTTGTTGTTTACTTTGTCCTTAGGTCATGACTATTTGCCAGTGTCATTACGTTTTTGTTGCTATACAAACTTATTGGCAATTTCATATTTATTGTGTGCTTGATATAAAAACTTTCATCACACTACTTCAGATACCCGAAAACAGTTATTTCAAAATGAGTCTCCTCGACACACATCCTAGTCTTGCCCCCTTTTTCCTGCCACTCAGAATTTTATACTACAAGGCCACTAAAATGTATACAAAATGAGTATAAATATCAAACTTCTTACTGTTTGATATTTAACATCCTAACCTGTTATGATGCTGAAATAAACAGGGGAAAAAGGTCAATCATGCTTTCATACATTTACTCAGTTTTAAGTCATACTGCTCAGCTTTCTCAAGTTTGCAATATGTTTTTTTTTATTTAAAATGATTAAATACCAGAATAGGAAAAGATCAGAGTGGCTGCAAAAATGAGGCAAAACTGGCCTATGTGTCGAGGGCTAACCCTAATCTTTTTTTTTAATAACTGATATCATGTTCATAGTTTTATACTGACTTCTGCAGTAATTCATAGACAGTTTCCACTATGCTAAATGATGAATTTTAGGATATATTTGGTGTCTGACCTATTAAATGTGAAGATATAAGCATTTTTAGTTATTTAATAGGAATAGATAAATAGTCAAACATATATAGAGATATCCCCCCATCCTCTCCCACTGTGGGCCTTAGTTTGGGGCTGCATTGGAGTGCCGAATTAAAACATACTTATCAAATTACAGGTATAGCCGAGTCAACGTGGTTCAGATCAAAATATTCTGCATCAAAACCCAAAATTTAGGCAAAATTCAATCTGAAATTGAGAGGCCGTTCCATTTCTCTATCTTATTAACCTTTAGTGAAGCTGAAATAATCCATTACCTGGACTCAGAAAAGAGGACAGCCTGTTGTGATTCTCCTAAGTTGTACTCTAGCTGATTAAAAAGAACAGTCTATGCTGACCAGATTCATAATAAAGCATCCCACCGTGATCTTTACGCTTGTTAGACAACAACCTTTTTCTTCCCTGACGCTTTGTCTGGCATTGTTAAAGCTTTCCCTTTCTACACCACCACGTGTCTCTCTGCCAACTTATTTCATATGCTGCTACTCTGTCCTATTTATTCAAACCCAACAATCTGTTCATAGCAGATCCTCGTTTCTTTGTTTTCCCCCCTCTACCTGGAAACTCCTCTTTGCAATACCCAAGTCCCTATTTCTGGCTTAACAATTCTCCTGAATGGAAAAGAAAAAAACAAAAAAAAAACAAAATACATTTCCAGTGATAGAAATGTAAATGTGTCAATATACAAATGCAATGCAATTGGACCAAAACTTTGATAGAAATCTGAGAATAACAGTGGCACAGTACCCTTATCAAACATGATTTATTGGGATGATTACTACCACTGCGGTCACTGCATGTTAAAATAATATACATTTTACAGTTGATTTATTAAACGTCCGATGGTCGGGTTTTCAGGTAATTTATCACACTCAATCTCCAAAGACGTGCCGACACTTGTGTGTCGAGATATCAGGGTTAACACTGCAGACCTGAAATGGGTTGAGTGGAGTTACAAATGCATTTGGCCCTGGAGGAGCACGTACAAATGGCCTGCACTCCCCTACAGAGACGGGAAGATGGAGACAGACGGGGAGGAAAACTGATGCAGGGGGATGAACCCAGGCAACAATTTCCTGCACATAGCTCAGGATTCTCTGAATAAACTGAATTTTAATTCAGTGGCTGTGGCCACTAATAGGAACCCTCTTAAAAATAGAGATGTGCATGAGCCCGTGAGAGGTTGTTAATGTTTCCTCCGTGCCCTTACCTTTGGGCTTTGGGTCTTCAGGTTTTGTCAAAGAAGATTTTTCTGGATTCTCAACAGGTTTTATATCCTCTAAGAGAACAGAAAATGGGGGGGGAAAGGGTTATAAGCAAAGAAAACCTGCAACATACCTCAACAGCATATGCTCACCAAAGCTTCAGAATCAACCTGAGCAAATTTATAGTTCTCATGCATCTGTCTAAGGCTCAAGATTAAAGGTAGTGTTCCTCCTTCACAAAACTACATTCTTTATCATAAAAACAGTTTCAGCAGCTTCCACATATACTGAATGCTAATATGTACTATGATGTGGTGTGAATTAGTAAATAGAAAGGGAAGTTGCAAGAAGAAACCGAGTGGCTGTCGGTAGTAGACGATCCCTCTTAGCTTCTTCACTTTTACCAAAACATTAAATGTATTTTATCTGGATTTTATGCGACAGACCAACAGAAAGTAAGATGTAGTCATGGAAGGGAAGAAAATGATACATAGTTATACTTATTATTACAAAAAAAACCTGGAAAATATGGCATACGTTTTAATTGAACCTCTTTACTCTGATGCTGGTAAATGAAATCAGGTGCAACCAAGTTAGCTTTAGAAGTCACCTCATTAGATGCCAAGTCTGTAACTTTCCTAGAAATAGCTACTGAGCTTTTCTAAAGAAACCCTAAAGAAAATTAGCTCCTAGTTCATCTGCTTAGCTGCATTTCTCTTCTAGATGAAGCCATTGTAGGAGTCACTATTCTGCCTTTAAATGTCCACTTTTCTTTAACATAGAAAGTACACTTTGATCTTCTGTTTGTTTCTGTGTATTTGCTCTGTCTAAAGGTCGCTGCAGACGGTCGCTAGAGGGAGTTTTTTTCTTTTCTACTGCCGCCACAGACCTGTTCAGGGGGAATGAATGCTTCAAGTCAATGACTCAATGCAATCTGCATGGTTTCCTTCAACAGAAAACTAACAACAAAATTAAATTGAGTTTGAATTAGTTTATATGATTGGACTGAAATTTATGTCCACTCTTCTTTGCAAAATAGTTCAGGATCGAAGGAAAGTGTATGTGAGTAATACCTTTCAAGGCTTGCCTCAGACTTTATTGGCCTTATACTAGGGCTTTGATATGAACCTTTTTTGCATACTTGGGCTGTTTAATGTTATTGTCATACTGGAAGGTGAACCTCAATCACTTTCTCTTAAAAAAAAGCACCTCACAGCAAATTTAAAGTTATAGGGGATAGTGTATTCAGGATGATGAGTTGAACATGCTATTTACGGTAGCGTAAATTGAACTAAAAACAGGCCAAACTTTTCAGATTTCAACTTGTGAATGATTTTTGAACACTGCATATCCTTTTTCTTCCTCCTCTCCTTTTGTGTTGGGCTGATTACACAAAGTGTTTAGCATCACTACTCACCGCCGTTGCTGGTGCCAGCGTTGGGTTCAGAGGAATCTGTAATGCAGAGCAGATATTGATGTAGACATTGCCTTTACTCAGGTATTAACGTTAATCATTGTCTGAAATCATTCTGCTTGCAAGCTGCTGTTCCAATTTATTTTTAGTCCAAGGACTTTACGGCAGCTTCACACTTCTGACCCAATGCTTTCTCTCATCCCTGAAAACTCACTGCCTTCCTAAAGAGTTATATTTCACAAAAAAAGAACAAAACAAACACACAATGGGAGAAAGACTCATGCAAAATTAATTACAGGCTGCCATCCCTGTAAGGCAGCTAGAGACCCTCCTCCCCTTCCCCTACAAACATCCTTTCCCCCTCTTCTCTATCCTACTTGTTACCTTTGTAGTCACAAAACTCCTTTATCGTCGCTCCCTGAGCAAACCTCCGCATTTCCTTCTTTGGAACAACAATCATTCCAACAAAGCACGCCACAAAAATAACCCGCTCTCCCCAGGCAGGCTTGTGATAATGTAAACAAATACAACTGCTTAAACACAACAGAAGAATGTGCAGGATCCAAAGCAAGTCGTCATTCTGTATGTCTGCAGTCAAGGTCATTTACCGAGTTGTTAAAAAAATGGAGGTTCCTGGTGATCATTACAGCTTTGGATTTAAATACCATGCCACCTTTAAAAAAAAGCACATGTAAGCAACATTAGTCTTTGTTTCCGTGGCTGCTCTGAAGACGTCCATAAAAAGAAGAAAACACACTCTTTTTTGTATTTAATCTGTTGTAATATTTCAGCATAAACTTTTCCTTTTGTAGACACCAGAGGGACAGAAGTACTGCTGAGAAGCAGGAAGGATGAAGCAACAACAGTCTGAGCCTTTGTATAGCTTTTTGCCTTTTAATCTGAGACATTGAACTGCCCACGAGGCAAAATATCATCCTTAAACAGAGAGTAAAAAGGAATATTTTCGATGTTTACATGTTTGTTCTTTTAGTTTAGACTATGCATACTTGTTTGTGCTTACTTTTCTTTTTCACTGAGCCCTTTTTCCTACAAAAATTCTGCTTGGTCTTTGGTTTTGACTTTTAATGACTAATTCATACTCTGAATATCAGACATAACCAGGCATCCCTAAATAAAACCCTGGGTAACCAATTTATAGCCTTCAGAGATGCAGAACCTTTGCATAAGTCATCAACATGAAAATCAAGGAAGAAGTTATTAAACCTGCAACCATGAAATCCATGGTCTCTCTGGAGAAGTTTCAGAGACGGAGCCCAGGAGGGAGAATCTGTTGACGGGACTGAAGTTACTTATGCAAGGCACAAATCTGTCCATTATGGGGAGGAAGAAAACCTCTGACATAAAAACTCAACATATTGATGAAGGCACTTTAAACTTTTGGCTCAATTTGTAAAACATAATATTTGACCGACTTATTTATGCCAGCTTTTAGACAAAAGGTACACAAACACAAAAGACAGAATACATTTTTGACTATTAAATTGTAGATCTTTTTTGAAAACCATGGATATCATTTTGTACTTCACAATTATGATTTACAGATAATTAAAACTCAACATGTGGTGTCAGAAATTTTGAAAATTGCAAAACGGTTACATATAACCGTAATCATAATGTGACTTATGATGTCACATTAATCGATGGTGATTAACTCAATACACTGAGTTTACTCAGCCTCTAATTAGTCTCTTGGTCTGGGTCAGTTGGACACAATCATGCAGCCAACTGTTGATTGGACAGATGTCCAGAAGACAGTCATTGACACGCTTTATAAAAAAGGTAAGACAAGGAGATTGCTAAAGAAGCTGGTTGCTTTCCTACACATGGGCTACAGGTGTCTTACGTGGGCTGAGGAGAAAAAGAACCGGGCTGTTGCTCAATGGTCTAATTTTCTCTTTTCACATGAAAGTAAAGTTTACGTCTCATTTGGAAATCAAAGTCTAAGACTCTAGAGGACCAGTATTATGTGCATAGAAATGAACAAAATTTTTATTTACCTTATGTAATACTCTAATTCTCTAACTCACCAAATGGGTTGGGTTTACATCATCTTTAAACCATAATCATCAAAATTAAAGTAAGGAGGTTTGAAATACTTCACTCTGTGTAACAGATTTACTTGGGTTCCACAAAATATCTCTTTTTTTTATTATATTCAGGTAAATAGCTTCATCTTTAGAAAACTGGAAGTGGGACGTGTGAAGTTGCTTGATGTAAGAACAAAGCCTGCAACACAAAAGCAGGGAGCTCAAGGAAGGAGCTCACTAAAGCACTCGCTTCATTCCACACACTTCTAACATCTTCCCTCCAAGGTAATAACAGTACAGTCTTGGTGCTAAGGTAGCATCCTGCTCCTCTAATATCCGACAGTAATCAAAACAAAACAAAAAAAAAAGCTCCACAGTTTCAGCTGATTGTGGCCCCAGCCTCCCACTGCCTGCCTGAAGCTTGGAACGTAGTTCTGTCTCACTCTCTAATTTGGCTCCTGTGAGCTGAGAGTGGAGAGGCTATCATTTAGAAAAAAGATCTGGGAGTTTGCTGTGGCAAACACATAAACAAGATGGGGGGAGAAAGAAAAAACTGGCCTCCGTCAAGATTATGGTGAAGGAGAGGCACAGTGTTGAGAGGGCAAGGGAAGATGAGAAAAACAGCACGCTGAAGTAAGTTCGTCTGCAGGAGGCCGAGGAGACATTACATCAATGTTTCTGAAAACTCACACATCCTGTTTCTGCTTCATAGCTGCTGAAACAAAAATGTTTACACGATTATTTGATCTGATTCCATATATCTGACAGTGCCACTGTGATACGGAGTTCAAAACCTAGACCGAATAAACATTCTTACCTCTGGTAATGTTAACATTTGGTCAATCACACTGATTCTGATTCCCTTAAATAAAGATCAGACCAACCAGTTAAGCATACGCATAGCTATGAGGACTCGCATAAATAGTAATAAATTCACAAAACCTAACCCAGGATTTACACGCATGCATCTTTTCTGCACACATTAAAGCCTTTAGCATTAAAGCCACATTTTGTGTGTATGCATCGCCCTAAATGATACATGCCAACAGCATATCTGTATAAATATACCCATATGTTCATTACTATAGCTAGTATTTCAAGTAAATGTAGTTTGTCTTAGTGAATTATTTTGAAAATACAGCTGCTGTGCTGATAGATTTTCCTGTTGGAATGGTATGATCTTTGTAGACGGACTCCATATGTGCTCCAGCATCCTGCAAAAAATAGGACTTCTAGGTTATAATTGTGATGGATGACAATGCAGAGGTGCTGTGCACGGCGCCACCATGCACAGCCTTGCAGAGGCAATGTAAGCTCTCTGACCATAATGGGTGTGCATTTTGCTAGAGTTACAATGACATGTATTTGATCCAAACTTATCCATGTGACAAGATGGAGCATACTTGATAATCTGACACTTCAAGGCTGTTGGGGACATTCAAAAACACTTGGGAAGCAAAAGGTGGTTTATTCACCCCGGGGGGCTGAATAAAACGGCATGCCACGCTTTTCAAATTTCTATTTCAAAAAATATTAAAAACAATGTATCCTATTCCTTCCACTTCTCAATCATGCACTACTTTCTGTTGGTTTAACACTTAAGTGTCAAACTGCAGTCCATGAAGTCTAATGTCCTGCAATGTCTGGATGCATCACTGCATTAAGAGACCTGACTCAACTAAGTGGGTCATTAGCAGGACTTCATGCTGAAGAGGTAATTCAGCCATTTGATTAAGGTATGTTGGACATATTGACTCTTGAGGACGGGAGGCGGACACACCTGGTCTAACACACAAAATCCCAATAGAACACATTGGAGTTTCTACCAGCAAAACAAAGATTCAGAGATATTTAAGGGGTATTAAGATTTATTAAATCCACTGTAGGTCACAGAGTTGAAAACAAAAACTCTAGAATGATTAGGAAACCTTTACTATCTTTAGCACTTCATATCAGTTCCAGCCTTCAGGAGGAGAGGAAATGTGCATGTGCTCACATTTCCACACAGAAGAGGAGGACAGGAAGGAAGAGAGTTGGGCATAAGTCACCCTCATCTGCAGACAAGCAGAAAATTACATCCCCTTGCCCTCCATTCATTTATTAGACAAGGGGTAGTTAGCGTTTTGTTGGTCAGCGTTAGTGTTCTGCACAACAACAATGTGTTACAGTAGAAAATCTCTTTAGATCTAAAATAAATAGACAGAAGCAAGTAAAAGTTTTGTATGAAAAACAGATATTTGAATAGTGGCCGCCTTTGTTTGGCAAAATCCCCGTTTATTTCTCATCATAATCAAATCTCATCTGTCACACCACCGTTAAACTGGAAGCCTACTTTGCTTAATGTTCCAGATGGGACCCTTTGGGTAGAAGAGGATGTTCTCTTTGTCCTACAGCCACACGACACCTCAGTGACATTTATTCAACTATCCTTCTTTAACAGTAAAAGAATAGGGTTGGAAAAATAATCAATGGAGGTGTGGGGAGATCTGTACCTTGCAGAGTCAGTTCCCCAGGATAATTTTTTTTTCCCCTTCATTTAATCCCAGAGCCATGGTTTTGACATGCCGTGCGAACCGGTCTGGAAGATTTGATCTCCAGAAGATCACGCAGGTGAACAAGTTCGCAGTCAAACAATGAACATGACCTATCACAGTCTCAGCTCAGGAAGGAGCTAAAAACCATTCACTGCTGACTTCTTACACTGAGCAATGGATATCATCTGATAGGTCCATTTACAGATTAAATCTCCTTCAGTGAATACAAAGTATTTCTATCTCACCAGAGTAAGCTCTGTTTTGTGGGTTTTATTAGGCACCTGAGGGCGTTCTGAGAAATAAATAAAGAAACTATCAAGGCCGGCAGCACTACCTGTCGAAGCTTTATTTCCACAAAATGAAGATAACTTTTTCAGAAGAAAGGATTGCTACAAATTCAGTTGTCTGAGCTTCCATAGACTGAATAATGTTTTACCAACTGACAGTAAATGTTAAA